TCAATTTTAATTAAAATGCTGAGTGAAAAGAACGATTCTAACCCAAACAAGAACAGTGTGTCGGTGGAAAGCTTTGCAAAAGTAGTCCCTGATTTCGATGGCATAGCTATACCAGTTAAGCAGTGGGTAAATAATTTCGACGAAAACGCCGAGGCATACGAATTAAGTGAAAAACAAAAGTATGTGAATGCAAGAAATAAAATGGTTGGCACGGCCAAATTATTTGTGGAAACTATTACTGTATCAAATTATGAAATGTTATGTGCAGCCTTAATAGAAGAATTTGATAAACAGCTGAGCAGTGCCGAAGTACATAAAATGTTGCAAAAGCGGAAAAAGCGTGTGTCGGAAAATTTTCATGATTATGTGCTCCAGATGCGAAAAATAGCATCACTTGGACAAGTTGAAGATCAGTCGGTTATAAATTATATAGTTGATGGCTTAGACGTGCGTGACGATCTAAAATTTCCGTTGTACAGTGCGCCCACGTACAAAGAACTTCGAAGTCGGTATGAGCTTACTGAATTAGTGGCAAAGAGCAGTTCGTATAACAAACGTCGCGAAAACGTTGATAAAGTAGGAGACAAACAACAACAACAGCAGCATTGCTACAATTGCGGTTCAACAGAACATAAGCGGGCAGAATGTAAACGAGAAACAAAATGTTTTAAGTGTAACGGTGTCGGTCACATAGCGAAGCAGTGCGTGGCAAGCAAACAAAGCGTTAACATTGTATTAAAGGAAAATCGCGTTAAAGAAATAAAAATCGGGAAAGCAGTTGTATCGTGTTTGATTGACACTGGCGCGGATGTTTCACTTATGCGAAAACAAAAATATGAAAACATTTTCGGTGACCAAAAGTTGCAAAAGAATTTTACTAAACTGTTTGGCTTAGGCAATATTGCCACTGTCGTGTTGGGTGAATTTACAGAAACAGTTGAGGTCGATGGTTTTGTGACAAATCATACATTTCTTGTTGTACCAGATGCAAGTCTAAAAGTTGAAATAATTGTTGGCTATGACTTTTTACAGAAGTTTACTGTCACACTAAATTCCAATGGTTACACGTTCGTACAGGCGCAAACAAAAGCTGATGATGAGCAGTCTGAGTTGAATGTTTTTAACGTGGTAAGTCCAGCAAGCGAGATCGATTTAAATGTTGAATCCCAGTATGCCGAACCAGTCAAACAAATGATCGCCAATTACAAGCCGGTGGACAATGCAGTAGAATGCCCAATAAAAATGACCATCATACCGAATGTTCCAAGCATCGCTTTTCGCGAAAGTCCAAGCCGATTGTCTACAACAGAACGTGAATTTGTACGAAAACAGGTGGATGAATGGCTTCACTGTGGCATTATCAGAGAGTCGTCGTCAAACGTTGCAAGCAAGGTGGTGTTGGCCAAAAAGAAAGATAGGACCTACCGATTATGTGTGGACTATCGTAAGCTGAATACCCTCGTACTTAAGGATAGGTTCCCAGTACCAGTTGTCGAAGAAGTACTCGAGAAGATGCAAAATGCGAAATATTTTACTGTTATGGATTTGCGAAATGGCTTTTTTCATGTGCAGGTAGAGGAGCAAAGTCGAAAGTATACAGCGTTTGTTACCAAGGAAGGGTTGTATGAATTTAATAGGGCACCCTTTGGATTTTGCAACTCCCCAGCAGTGTTCGTACGATACGTTAATTACATATTTCAAACATTGATTAACAAAGGCATAATGGAGATGTATGTTGACGACATAGTTATTTTCGGAGATTCAGCTGGTCAATGTTTGGAAAATATGCGAATTGTACTGAAGCAGGCAGAAATGTATGGGCTTGATATAAAATGGGCCAAGTGTCAGTTCTTAAAGAAGAAAATAAATTTTCTGGGTCATGAAGTAGAAAACGGACGTGTTTGGCCAGGTCAAGAAAAGGTAAAAGCTGTGAAGAATTTTCCTCTTCCCAAAAACATACGGGGAGTACAGGCCTTTCTTGGACTAACGGGGTATTTTCGAAAGTTCGTTAAAGATTATGCATTACTAGCCAGACCGTTGACACAATTGTTGAGAAAAGAAGCCGAATTCAAAATTGAAGGGTTACATGTACAGGCGATAGAACAATTAAAGAATGCTTTGACGAATGAACCAGTATTGAAGATATTTATGCAGAATGCGGCAACACAGTTACATGTTGATGCGTCAAAAGATGGGTTTGGTGCTACTCTTCTCCAGCAGCATGATGGCAAGTGGCATCCTATTCTGTACTGGAGTAAAAAAACGACACCTCAAGAAGAAAAGTTGCATAGCTATTTTTTGGAAGTGAAAGCAGCATATTTAGCAACAAAAAAGCTACGACATTATTTAATGGGCATTGAATTTGTTCTCGTTACTGATTGCGCAGCGTTTAAGATGACATCAACGAAAAAAGAAATTCCCAGAGAAGTAGTGCAGTGGTTAATGTATCTGCAAGATTTTACGTATACCATAGAACATCGCGCTGGTATAAGGATGAAGCATGTCGACAGCCTCAGTCGATTCCCAGTCATGATCGTAAGCACAGAAGTTCAGGCACAATTTTTAAAGGCCCAACGCAAAGATGAAACCTTAGTTGCAGTTGCAGAAATTTTAAAACTGAAACCATACGCAAACTACAAGGTCAGAAATCAGCTGATTTATAAACAAGTAGATGGTATTGATTTGCTAGCCGTACCGAAATGCATGGAAAAAGAAGTTATCAGGAATGCTCATAACTTTGGTCATATGGGTGTGAAGAAAACCATGCATCACATTCAGCAGGACTATTTTATAGCACACTTAGAGAAAAAAGTTGTGGAATTTATCGCGAATTGCATTGAGTGTATAACACATAACAGAAAGCTGGGTAAACAAGATGATTTTTTGCATTGTATCGACAAAGAAGATCAGCCGCTGAGTACACTCCATGTAGATCATTTGGGATCATTGGACCTGACTGCAAAGAAGTACAAATACATATTCGCTGCTGTTGACGGGTTTTCAAAATACACATGGTTGTATCCAACAAAGTCTACCGATGCGCAAGAAGTTGTTAAACATATCAGCTCGTGGGTAGCTATCTTTGGGAATCCACGGCGTATTATCAGCGACAAAGGAGCAGCATTTATATCGAAGCAGTTTAAAGATTTTTGTGAGGAACACAAAATAGAGCACATCGAGACTACTACAGGGATCCCAAGAGGAAATGGGCAGATAGAGAGAGTCAACCGAGTTATTCTGTCTGTTTTGTCAAAAATGTCTGCAGCCGAGCCGTCAAAATGGTATAAATATACATCACAGGTGCAACGATCTATTAATACACATGTCCACTCATCTACGAAGTACACTCCGTTTGAAATTATGTTCGGCGTCAAAATGCGTAATGAATCTGATCTGGAAGTGGTGAAAATTCTTCAGGACGAGCTACTGGAAGGCTTGCAGGATGAACGCAACCAAATCAGAGCTGATGCCAGAGTACAGATTGAAAAAGCTCAAAGTTGCTACAAGAAGAATTTTGACAAAAAGCGACGTAAGCATAGTGGTTACCAATTAGCAGACTTAGTAGCCATTAAAGTAACACAGTTTGTAAATGGTAAAAAGCTGGCTCCGAAATATATCGGGCCATACGAGGTTACCAAAATAAAACGTAATGGAAGGTTCGACGTGAAGAAAGTTGCAGAGTTCCAGGGTCCGAATCAGACTTCAACTTGTACTGATTCTATGAAACTGTGGCGTTACATGGGTCAAGACGAAGACGATGAAGCTGGAGAATCATCTGAGACAGATGATGAGCAGGATGGCCGAGTGTAAAGTGGCATCCTTGTGCCATTATCATCAGTTGGCACCCCCGATCAGGCGAAGGTGTAATTAAGAAGAAGTCGTGGGATAGTCGTTTTTCAACAGTCGTAAGCAGCAGTCGTGGCATTCAGTCGTCAGTAGTAAAGTTGTACAGCAGTCACTAAAGTTGGTCAGAAGTTGCAAAAGTCGGCGTCTAAACATATTTTTAAGTCTTATGTTATTATATAATACTATTCTTATTGTTTGTCAAATACTCGATATACTTTATTAAACGATTTATAAACCTAATAAATCTTACATTTATTCCTTACAGTGCTTAAAAGAAATTATCGCACATAGTTTTTATATTTGTATCTTATATAATTAATTTATATTATTTTAATCATAATCATTATTTTTCTAAGGAATGCTTTAAGAATATCCTCATAGATTGGAGTCGAATCGATTTAAAACGATTTCTTTCCTATTGAATAAATAACTGGTCCGCAAGCAGTTTTATATATGCAACACGATTAATTTAAGAAAACTATATTTAGCATTTTCCAGCAAGAAATATGTAGTATATATTAAAAATTAAACTACGAGCCGTCACTGTTTGGGTTACAATTGCCTTTATTTATTAAATTTCCGATAACAAAGAATATACAATATTCACCAGCCAACAACATAACAATAGTTATCACATGGACTGATTGATGGATTGTAGCACATATTACGAGTATAAAAAATGTATTGTGGAAACATGCACCACACATACAATAATGCGGAAAAATTATTCTTTTAAACATAAAATTGTTTTTTCTTTGTTTTTGATGAATTTGATTTTGTAACATAATATAATATTTGATAAACAATACAATTTAAGCATGCAAATAAGCCTTCTTTTTTATAAGAGAGCAATAATCAGTGGATATTTCAGTGCATCATTGAATTTGATAAAGAAAAAATGTTTATACTCGTAAAATAAATAAAAATGAACCCAATCGAACGAGTGGATTATTTGCCTGTGTGAACCCGTCTTAAAACATTAGTTTAAAGATAAGTTCAAGAGCTTAGACGTATAAAACAAGCTGCTGAGTGCGCAATACACTGACAACAGCAACAACAATGCTAATCTAAGGTTATCATTTATTTTTGCCATCAGTCAAGCATACAGATTAAGCTTCATGTCAGTCTCTCACAAGTTCGCTAGACGTTAAGTAGAAGTGCACGAATACTCAAACAGATGGAAAGAACGCCAAGAAATAGTGCAACCCAACTGGCCAGCGAACGTGGGTTGTTGGCGACGGTGGAAATTGAAGAGCCCGAGTCAGCAGATGCTCCTGCTGCTGAGCAGCGAAGGACTCGTAAACGAAATGTGTGCCCTCCTTTGCGCCTCCACAACTTCCTCAGCACACTGGGTATACTCTGCGCCCTGCTCCTCATCGTAGGCTCCATTTACATGCACTTAAGACAAAAGCATCATTTCGGGCGCATGAACAGCGAGCGGTCTTCGAAGAGTGCCGACACCACCATCATAGTGGTCAGTGAAGAGCCGAGTGTAGGTGGGTGAGCATCCTGCCCACTACTTGCACTCTTTAATTCGCGTACCACTTTTTGCAGCTGCACAAATTACCGCAGTTAATGTTGAACAGCTGCAGCCCGAAACGGTACAGTTACTGCCAATAGCAACGTCTCCAGCATCAACGGCAACTACTTTAAAAGCTGACACTACGTTGTTTCCAGATCAAATCAGCAAGGAATGTCTATACTGCATCGCCAGGACAGCCACGGACTGTAAGCCTGTCTTCTGTAGCGACAATCGCATGTGTGGTATTTATCGCATTTCCCAGTGGTATTGGTCGGATGCATTAAGCTATTTTCAATGGCCCAGCACGCCGAGTAAGTCAAAAATTTACAGTAGAACAAAATATACTTAGAAGTGACCTGGCCGTGAATTCGATTTAAATGCCTGATCTTTGAATTTAAAATTAAATTAAATTAAAATGCATAAACAGCCGTACCAAATGTTTGGTCTTGATACTCTATAATACGATTATAAATAAGTTTACTTAAGACTCGACATTCACTTTACTCGATGGATGGTCAGCATTTAACTTTGGTGCACATTTTGTTGCTCGATATTTCCAATTCAATAGTACTTTTGAAATCAAATTAATTGAATTTGTATTAATAGCAAATGCAGCAATTAGCTTAAGCTCTCTTCCTCCCACAGACATCAACGAGTGCCTTTCGGACCCGCTCTGTTCAATGGAGGTGGTGCGTGCATACATAGAAAGATATTCGCGGGATTGCAATTATGATGGGATAGTTGATTGCAGGGATCACATATTACTGCATCTAAAAGGTCCTAGTGGGTGTCTGAATGGTGCCCTTGGCAGTCTTTATGAATCGCGCATGGAAACGTGTTTAGAGACACAATCAAAACCAACATCTTGTTTGAGTAATTAAACGCTTAAATATACTTATACTCCTATATTCTGATGTGTCGACAATTTTATTTCTTCTACTCTCTTCTATGATTTTCAGTCCTTGTTCAGCCCCGTGAGCTTTGGTCGGACATAGAATGTGGGCATAAATATAACCAAGAAATCGTAAAATAATATGAGCGAGGCCAGCTTGGCGTCACGAAGGTTGACTCGCACAGAACTGCCGCCCACAATGCACTGCACATGATACATGGTGAACTGCAAGTGACAATATTTATATAGGCGAAGGATTACAAAAAAGAAGAACAAGAACAACAACAACAAGAACGTTAGTTGAGTGCAGAGGGCATTTCTTACTGGCAGCATAACAAATATGGTTATGGCGGCGTACACCCAAAAGAATGGGTCCATGTGGAGCCGCACGAACAAGATGATGGCATAGATGCTCATAATAGCGACGTGGAAGGTCAGCAGATACATGAAAGCGGCATTCACTGTGATGTCCAACTAACAAGATAGGAATCAGTCGATTACAAAATTTGATATGCCTGCAAATAGGTGGCACTAACTTACCGGTATAAAGATGGCAATCAGCGTTATCAGTAAAAACAGCAGGGCTGCACACAGAAAACCACACAGCATGTGCAATATATCTGTGCAGAACAACAAGAACGACATGCTAACGATCAATCCCTCAACCTACTCTAGGGAACTAAGAATTATGATAGAGCAATAGAATCCAATCGGCACTTACTATGAGCATGCTGAGGAAGCAGCTCAAATAGGACATCCCACGCACTTGGGAGCTAACCAAAAATATCAAAAAGAGTAGCATTGTAACGGCAAACACCAGGACGACTGCAGACTCGTGAGCAGAAAGCAGTTCCTTGCCTTTGGCACTGAAAATAAAAGCTAGTACAATAGTTCCAGTATAAAGCCCATACCCGTAGATGGTAGTTACGTAAAGAAGCCGAGCACAGCTAACCATTGCAGCAGGGCGAATGCCATAAAAGCAGCAAGCAGCAAATAAACACGCAGCACAAAATCCCGGCGCTCTTCGGCAGTTTCCCAGTCGAAAATGGGCCAGATTTCCAAGCGATTTTCAAACATAAGTAGAAACTGAAAATTTGTCTGTTGAAATAAAATGCCTGCCTGCTTTTGCTGCTGTTGCTGCTGTTGCTGCTGCCGGCAGCTTGTGATTAATGCCAAATTAACGTTAAACGTGGGCATTCATTATACTCGATGGACGGACTGGTCAGCCTTTAAATTTCGAGCAGGCAAACAAAAACTTTGAGCAGCAAATTAGTGTAGAAAACACTCACGACATACATAATTGAACTTGACAAACTTTCTTGTTCTGCAGCATTGCGCGCAAGTGTATAATAATTAAAAGTTTCTACAACGGTTACAGCTCCTCTTCCAGCTACTACTTGTACAAATGTTGCGGCGTCCGGGAGGACGTACAAGTTTGGGCGCAACTTTTAAATCATTTAGCAGCAGATTGCACAACGAATTTGATGTCTTAATTACCAGACATGATGAATCGATTTTGTTAAATGTGCCAAACAAATGTTTCCGTTCAAAGTTATGCCAGTGCATATATCATCACAGCTCCAACCTTCTCCACTGGACAAATATTGCACACATGCCATCGGTATGACAAATACTTTTGATTGATATTAACCTATCGGAGAATACTTGTATACTTAGATTTGATTTTTCTGTTGACAGGCATGAAAAGCTGAGGAGAAAAACAGTTCGTATGCTTGTTACAGCATGCAGTGCAAATGTTGTGTCTAAGTCAACATATAACAACCATTAATCAGTTATTAATTAATGGAAAAGCTAATTTATTTGTGTATGTACAAGTATATCTGTGGATACCCGTATGTGTGTAAAGTGAAAAGTTTCTCGGGCGTAAACGCAATGCAAACAAAGTTGAAAGTCAAAATTCATTCGCAAGTTTAAACAAAGGGATAATAGCGAGTTTGCATTACTAACTGAATGGGTGGATGGCTTATTTATGGTAAAGTTGAAATTCACTTTAGTTCTGCGTCTTGACCCGGCCAATAAACAAGCACACAGAACAGCGCACACCCACAACTACAAGTATATTGAAAAAGCACTTGGGCTGCGCAATATTCTCTTTGCATGCACAGTAGGTAGAGCTTAAAACAAACACGCAAAGTGAAGGCCATAAAAATACTCTTTCATTTTTATAACCTACTACCAAATACGCCCCCTTCCTAGGGGCTGCTTTCCGGGTTTACCCTGAGCCATATCTTTTTTGAATTTAAGCCTTCATTCCATTCTAATATTTTGCTCATTCCAGGCACAATTTCGGAGGGAATACCTATATATATGTAGTAATTCTTAGAACTTCAAGTAGCTAGCGTTTAATAGTTCGACGTTTGAACGTTTTACTGTAACAATCAGCTCACAAAAGTGTTGCAATAAGTTATAGAATTCTTTGAAAACTATATATATATATATATACCTTAACTTCGATTTAATTATAATACATACTTGTATATGTATATTATTTGTTCTAGCCATTTAATGAGATTCATAGATATATATATATTTTGTTTTTTTGTGTATTTGCATTATTTTTATTTAAAGAGATTTATATGTCAGCATAGTTGCAACTTATTTCCAAATAAATATTGCTTTCATATATTATTTATTTTGTTGGCATAGTAATAGTCCCTATTTTAAATGACATAATGTGATCCTTTCAATGTTTCGTGAAAAACAACTTAAACACTCGATCTAAATGCAGGACACAAGTATATTAGATTATTCCCGTGCCCAGATAGAGGGTATTCAATAATCTTGCAAAGCCTATGTTCTATTCGATGTGTAAGTAATAAAATTCGTTTACAAAGACCTCCTGAAGCGTTCATTAGGTTTCCGGTAACGAAATAAAATGTTAATGGACTGGTCAGCAAGTGAATAAAAAAATTGCATTCAAATAAAAAATAATATACATAAGTAGTTTATGTTTCAAGCTATGCACGCGAAAATGATGTAATGGGTCTGAATTTTTAGCATACTTTTAGAAGAGGGACCGATGGTACTGAGTAAGCTCTGTTTTATTGAACAGATATCTTTAAACGCTTTTTACTGTGCACATTAAACTGAGAAGGGTCTAATCATTCAATTGCATGTCGAGTGTATACAACTTTATTCAATCAAATGTGCAAATAGCGAATAATGCAAACAGAAATAGTCCAAATGAGCTGACAGGCAGACAGATAGACGGATATACAGCCTGTGAGCCTGTGTGCTCAGACGGCAAGTCAATATGTCCCAGAATAAAGCGCGGCAGGCAGACAAACTGGCAAATGGACAGACCCAGGAACGAAGCAAGAACCAAGCGTTATGCATTCAGCTCGCATTTACCATTGGCTCGTACTTTATATTCATTATTATTGAATTGAAAGGAGTTTATTTATTATACACATTGAATGTAGCAGATAAATATTGAATGATTGATGGCTAGCTGGTTGGCCTTGGTTGGCGCTAAAGTGTTTCGTTTCGAAAAACAATTACCCGCATTGTTGGCCGGGTCGCAACACAACGTTCATGTTTAGTTCGATCTCTAAGCGTCCTTTTTAATGGTCCTCTGTCAAAAGGTGTCACTATTGCCATTGCAGAGCTCAGCAAGTGCCTCTATATATAGCAATATGTGAGTGTGGTATGTCCAAAATTGATTGCTTTATTCCAGCTCCCAGTTTCCAGCTAGCAGCTAGCTGTCAGTTCAAAATTGATGCAATTCAGTGCAAGTTGTGATACGAATTTTAGTGTGCAATGAAATTCTTTCAGTTACGTTCTTTTCGTTTTTCCCTTTCTTCTATTTCCAACCCATAAAAAAGTTACTAAAACTTACTTGTAGCTGTTAGTTTTACTTCTGCTCACATCGCTTCCTTTGTCAGATGGATCTTAGTTGGCTAACTTAATTTGTTTGCTTTGCAAAAGTCGAAAAAATATTACAAACTGTGTGCTGCTTTATGACATGCTCACAGTAAGTGTACTCATATCCACATATTTACGAGGTGAGCTTGAATCGTGGCACTGAGCAACTTTTAACCAAGAAAAAGGTAACACAATTTATAGAATATATTGCAGATTATTGGGTATGTGCAGCCTTTATTGTCACTAGATAAAGTTGCTCATCTAAAAAGACAGGCTGCCTTGTCAATTTAAAATCTGTCTTTCATGCATTTAATTTTTCGTCTGTTTTAACCAAAGCGCTTTATGTACGTGAGGCCAAACCACTATAGAAGTTTTACTTTATACTTTTCCACTATACTATACTATACTATCCTCTAGCCTCCCTTTTGCTGTATGATTGTATGATTTTGATTGTTTGATACCAAGGCAGCTTAACTAACTAGGCTTTTATTTTTGTTTATGCTGATGCTTGCAGCTAATTTTGGGTAGCTTTAAAAATCATTTTAACATTATAAAAACAAGAGAGAACGCTACAGTCGAGCAAGCCCGACAGTGTAATACCCTGTACCCATGTAAACTTCCGTCACTGAGTTATATGCGCCCATAGCAGCAGCAAAAAGAGGAAGAAGAAGAGCGAACTTGTTGCTGCAGTTTGGGGAGGTTGTACTGGCGAGAATTTGTTTTGCTAATAACTTTTCTTAGAATTGACCGAATTGAATAAAATTTTATACAACAGTAGACAATTATATATTAATTATGTGTGCAAAGTTTGGTTTAGGTAGCATTTGAAATGTGGACGGTATTGACGAAATTCTGTAGCGGGGGAAGGGGGGAAAAATTCCAAAAAATAAAATAAACTCGTCCTTACTCGGACCTAGGAGAATCTGGATGCCAACTTTGGTTATTCTAGCTTTTATAGTTTCTGAGATCCTCGCGTTCATCCAGACGGACAGACGGACAGACGGACGGACAGACGGACGGACATGTCTAGATCGATTTCTCTCGTCATGCTGATCAAGAATATATATACTTTATGGGGTCGGAGATGCTTCCTTCTGTATGTTACATACTTTGCACAAACCTAATATACCCTTTTTACCCTACGGGTACAGGGTATAAAAATAATGAAAATAATGGTTACCCGGCATGTGAACAGTTCATATTGAGTTGAGTTATGTTTAAAGTACCAAGTACTTATACTCAAGAGAATGTTAGATTTTAGGAAACTTAAATGGGCAAAAACGCAAGGAAAAGTTTGTTTAGCCCTTTAAAAAATAGAATAGTTTTTTTTGGCCAAACATCCCTCGGCAGGGTGCCGAAACATATGCTAACAGCATTTGGAAAATGAAATTTACATGGCTTCTGTTCAAAGTAAATGTCATATGTTTAATATTTGAGCTGCATTTTATCTAAAAAGGGTTGCCGACGGCCCGCAGCTAGCAATAAATCCCAAAAAGTGTACAACATAATTAAGTTGTATATCAGAGATTAGCCAGCCGGTTGTCCTCAGTCCTTAAAGCTCAGTTCTTCTTCCTTAGTCCTCATTTGGCAGCCGCTGGCAACACAACGAAAGGCTATAGAAAAGCCGAGCGGTGGTCGGCAAATGGGCCAGAGGGCATATTTTTTTGTTCTTGCTACGTTTGTTGTTTTTGTTTGCCAGCTGGCCGCTTTTATGCGCATATTTAAATAGACATTGTGGCATTACAACTGTTTCAAACAGCAACAACAAAAACGATGACAGCCAAGATGCTGACAACAATGAAAATGACGACGACTTTAATGTCTCCATTATGACCGGCAGCTAAATGCTGAAGCAGAGACTCCAACTCGGGCTGACATTACGGCTGATGTCGAGGTTTAGACTGCGGCTAAGGTTGAGACTTTGGCTAAGAGACCAAGGCGCTTCATTAATTTTATTGCCGCAACCATGAGTGGCGAGCTGCTTCCCTGGTGGCTTGGCGTGCTGCTTGGCGTGTCTTTTGCGGCTTCCTTGCGGTCGGTGGGCGATGGACTTTGCTTTGAAGTTCGTGGGCAAAAAGTTTTGATTGTCTACACACACATAAGCACGCACACACATACAGGCATGCCAGGCAGCCGCAATCACATGTGTATTACACATACTCGTTTGTGTATATGTGTGCGGATCTGTGTACGAGTATGTGTGGGGATATTTGAATTTTGCTAACCTTAAGTGGTTAAGCGTAAAACTTTTTTAATTAGAGTTGTTTGTGTGCAGCCATTCTGACATTGTGTAAATAATTTTGCCTTAATCTTGGACGCATAGTTGCGTTCCTGCACATTTTTATCAACGCTATGGCCAGCACACGCTTATTTTCTTTATTATGCGCTAACTATTTTGGCCACATTGCCTTTGTCTGGCGGCCAAATTCTCATAAAAATTGACAAGGCTCGCACAAAATTCATGAGCGTCCACAGTCCTACTTAAGCTGTCACAAAACGCAGGACGAGGATGTTGACAATGGCACCCTTGAGAACGCATAAATTTTGTGAAAACAGGCGCCGCTTACAACAGTCTGCATTTATTTTAATTTTCCTATTATACATCAGCAAACAAACAAAAAATGCAAATAAAATGAAAAAGGCTTTGTACTTGATTAAAGTTTTTCCCATGTGTATGTGTGTATGTATGTGTGCGTGTCTGTAGGTATGTGAAGGACTCACAGCTCAATATGTCATAAAATGAAATTAAAATTAAATTTCGTTAAGGCAGAAAGACACAAAATAACAACGGAACCAAAATCTGCATACATTTTCGTGGGAAACAAATTTACAAACAGAAGAGAGAAAAAATCATTGGGCACATGCAAATCTAATTTGTGACAGCAACAACAACTGAAATAGCTAAAAACAACGACAATAGCTACAAAACAGCAACTGCGGCAATGTCAGCACACGCATATATTTGCCATCTTTTTATTATAATGAAAATGTTTTGCACCACGTCGAAGTCGGAAAACGTTGCCTTTTGGCTTGCAGATGGCACACCCCCGCGCTCCCTTCACCACAAAGCAGCTGGCCTACAAATATCCGCAGGATGTGTAGCTGCCGGCTGCCAATGTGATTTTGTCAGTGCTGAGACACACACACACAATCATAAGCAAACAGGCTCATAGTAGCAAGCCGTAAAAATGTTCATGTTGTTCTAAAAACATTGAATATACATAACGCTTGGATCTAAGCCAATAAGAAATTGCTCTCATTGCACAGCCCAATAAAGAAATTGCTTTTATTGCACAGCGTGCACAACACAGCGTATGCGTAATGCCGCTTCGGCAAATTCACGCACGATATCAGTGCTAGACTAGAGATGTGTATGTCCTTAACAAAAAAAAAAACCACAAAATGTAACAAACACAATTTAAATGTTGCACTACTAAATTTTTAACATGGAATTTTACAATCACTCAATCAAATTAGAATATTGGAAAATAGACCAAAATTAAATGAAAAAGTGATTAATGAAAGCTAGTGATGGAAAAAGTGATTTTTGAGTTTTGAAAATGTTGCGTTTTAGTCAGTGGGATGATAATTTTTTCTAAAAAGAACAGTGCTTTTTGAGTTTTGAAAATGTTGCGTTTTAGTCAGTGGGATGATAATTTTTTTTTTTAGTTCGCCTGACCTCTATTTAAATTGACAAATATATCTATATTCACAAATTCTTTTCTAAGAAGTAATCAAAACATGTATAAATGACCTTATTCAGAAATAGCAAGGCTAGTTGGAAAGTGACAATGTTCCTGGAACAGGTATAATATGGATATTTTTTTTTTTACCTACAAGTATATTAAATTAAATGTATAACCTATTAACGACAGATGAATAGACTTTAAAAAGAAGCCAAATACTTATACTGAAAAGTCCTTAGCTACAAATTGACTGCTATGGAAGTTTATTTAACCCAAAACGAGCTGATTTTTAAATTTATTCATTATCTGCACATTCCATATCTCTTGTCAATCTTAAGTGTGTCATTTCTATTTCAAAAACTCATTAATGATAGCGAAATCGCGGATTCTTTTGCTGTTTATGATAACCAACAATCACGTATAATTGATGACCATCTCTACCGTAGACCTAGTGTAGCCATTACATAAAGTGAAAGAGGGTAACGGCGGGACACAGGGACACAGGGACACAGGGAGCAGAAAAGGGGCGGATGTGCGGTCAGTATAATACAATTTGAGTTGGTTTTTGCTTTTTGCCAAATACGAGACACATTTCGCATTATGCTTCACATTTATGTTGTACTATATACATTAATTATGGCTATTTACTTTGGGCCCTGCTACTGCCAATTATGTGTACAAAATGGCCTATTATTGGCACATATATATATACAAACATGTATATGTAATTGTGTGTGTGGGCTTTTTTATATGTATCTAAGCTACGCTTGCGGCCTGGATAGCACTTAAGCAAAACAGCAGGCCAAATGTCCTGAAGCAACAATCTACCAACAGTGACTTGGTAAACAAAACTACGTGAATGTTGTTTTTACATGTCAAGTGGTCGTAGTAGTGGTTTTTGTTGTTGTTTTCCTAAAGATGATGGATGTTATTATAATGTTCCGCCATTCAGATAAGCCGACCAATCGGCGCCACGTCTAGTTCATCAGAACTGTCACAGTATTCTACTTTTCTTAGACAACGCCTTTAGCCATTTTTGCAAACTGATTGGAAATATTCCAAGTGGACAAAAATAAAAGATACTTTAAATTTTGAAAGCATTTGGATTTTTCCAGCCGAATATGACAATGAGTAAGTACATCGCATTAAATCGTTTTGTGGCATCTTTATTGCCTAATTTTTTGAAAGCAGATAATTTCTCTTTTACTTTTAATCATATTTCATTCCCATTTTCAATTTTATTGTCATTTTAGCTGCAAGCGCAACATTTTTTAGTTAAATGTTTTGCTTTAATTCGGCGTAATACAAATCGTTCAATTACTATAGTACTAAGGTTACAGCTCTAGAGGAAACTTGTTAGACAAAATGATTCGAAGCGAATTGTGGCAATTAAAACAATAACATTGAGTCACTTGTGGCGTTGCTCAGTTAATTATTCATGCCCCATAATTAGGTGTTAAAAGCAACGCAATACATTCTTCCGCAAACCGTAAAATTAAATCTTTTATATTCGAAAATGTTGTGGCTTTATTTCAGTTTTAGAACCTATTTTCCCATTAACTCTTTTACTAAAATTGTCCCCTACTTGAAAGTATTCAATAATGCAGTTCGTTTGTATCAGTTTACCAGTTCACTTATTCCCATACCCAAATAGTGAATTATCCCACCATAAGTTTTAGTTGATTTTTGTTTGTTAATGAAACTGTGCATTAAGTTGATGGGAAAAAAAACACATTTTGTAAAATCAATTACCTACACTATAAAATTTATTGAAATTTCGTAAAGTGCTGCGGAACTGGCATTTCTAAATATTAGCATCGATTGAAATACAATTTATTAAATTATTATTGACATTAGTTTTTAATTTTTATGCAGCGGTAAGTTTAAAGCTCTGTCAGTTTGTTTTCTTGCGAGCTCAGTGTTTTTCTATGTACTTTCCAGTGTAGTGTTATGTGGGGCGGGTGTAGTGCGTGCCGTCGTCGTCTTTAGCTTATGATCATGAATCTGATAAGAAAAGTATACTGTTGGCTTAACAAGGAAGCCCGGCTCACACCAAAGCATGTACATTATGAGAAAGAAAGAAAACAGTATGAGAGATCCCAGTAACCCTTCTTTGGTTCGCAACTCGGCATATCGCCAGCCATTGATCAACTGTGCATGGTACATGACAAACTGCAAAGATGCATTGAAAATAAAATCATTGGGCACAATTGAATTGAAAATTGAAACAGACCATCAAAACAATCAGCGACAATATCATCCTGTAGACATCAAAGTAATAGTAGGCAATACGGCTGTGGTAGTCCCAATGGAACGTATCCCAATGACGAGGCAACACAAATATCATAAGCATAATTAAGCTGACGAATAGTAACACAACACAAAACAGAAACAATGCGGCTACCTGTTCCGTCAGATCGCAATACATGTATGAAGCAATGAGAATAAAAACAGTGAACAGCAACAGAATGATCACTATACAGGATACCATGTATATGGGATGACTTCGAGGGGCTTGCACTGCAGCTCCCAGTATGAAAAACTCAACCTGCGGGTGAAAGTAAAGTATCAGCTCAAATCTCCACAACATGCGATCCATCCCAATGCAAACAAAAATTTGTAAGCCAAGATGGGAAAAATCGAATGAATCTACAAGTTAATTGCAATTAAATCAGATGGATTTTTCGATTTTTCGATTTTTCGATATCACTATACAAGTAGTTACCTACAATGAGAATTGATATGAGCCAGTTGATTAATAACACATGTCGCAGAGCCCTGATGAGTATAAACAAGGTAAACAAGACGGCAGCAATGAGAAACAGACCAATGAAAATATAACGATTGTCATTAAATAACTTTCGCAATTGTTTCCTGTAGGCTATAATCGATTAGAAGATGAGATTGTGCACTATTTGCCAGCTTGGTGGAACTTACGCCAAAACCACTGCCTCCCATTGCAAAAGTGCCAGAAGTGCAAAAACCAATGACGTGCTGTAGACAATAAGGATAAAGCTAGCCCGTGAAAGCCGCTCCTCATAAGGTGCATAGCGCAGCATATTTGGTCGCGGCATGATAATGGGTCGATAAGTGGCATTTGGCCTCGCTCCTGGTCTTTTGACCCTACCACGTTTCGTTTGTGTAGGCATGACGATAATACAGGGAAATTTACACTATTAATTGTCCAAAAGGTTTAAAATATTTTTCACTAAAATTTTGACAAGTAAAACTAACCGAAATTCAATATCGAAGACTTCCAAATTATGAATCCCCTCTCTCCTCCCCCAACCCCATAAGGTCCCCTTACTAAGTTCAGCTTTGTTTTTGCGGTATGTACATAGACTTTTCTTGTTAAACCAAATCATGTCGTAGATCTAGAAGGGAGAGATATCACTAAACAAGAAAAGACTTTTATCTTTCGAGCTGTATTGAATTTAGTAACACTACATAGCACGACTTTAAGGAATCTGCAACGAAGAAATGGGCCTTCATACTTGTACAGATACGTAACATGCCTAATATTTACAGAGAGTGCATACAAATTGTGGCTAGACTGAGGTTGTATTATTTGTATTTATGCTTTCTGAGTGGTAATCAGTGCACCAGAGAATGTTAATCAGTAGATTGAAAAGCAAAATTAACAATTTTACATTTTTTGTAGGCATAGTCAATTGCAGAGGCAGATCCTTCTAGGATATGTTGTACTTTTTGTTTGTTTTTGGTAATCACATTATAACCAACCATTATTCCCTGATAAGATATTGGCTATACATTTTTTAAACTTGATTAAAGTGCATTCAGATATTAATGCTATGAAATGCCATTAAATGTGAGATCTTGAATTATCAGTTTCCTGCCAATTTCCTTCGATCGACCACGACGAAATACTGTCTCTATTTACGGACCACTTCACGGGCAAATTTTACTTTATTAGCTTACATAAAACTTGCTCGTCACTGATAGTAATATAAAATGACGACCGTATGATTCGTGCAGGCACGTAAAGCGAAAAACATGTCAAACTTTACGACGGTAATGTCAAATGCGTCTCGGCTATTTCAGCAAAACATAGCTATTTACAATTACTTACTTCTCAACTTACAATGAAAGTCCACAAAAGTCAGAGTCCCTCTTCTTAAAGCTTGGCTTAAGGCCGTGTCTGCAATAACACAATAATTGAAATTGCTGCGTGAATTCATAAAAATGCGCTGCCAAAAATAAAAATAAAATGCCCCGATGGCGGCAACACATGTCAAACAAGTAACAGGAGCAACAACAACAGCTGCGACTTGGCCAAAAAACGGCCGAGCAGTGGATGAAGAGCCGTTTGTTCGCCAAACATTTTTGAAATGCTGAAGCGATTTGCCAGCAAAAAGCACACTCAAAAAATACACATATACACAAATATACGAATATAAATATATGTACATACATTTATATGCACACTCGCAATATTTCTTGGGAGATGCCAACCACCTCTGACGGCTTTAAACTCTAACGACAAAGTGTCAAAAGATGTGTGCAAAGGCGTTGAAAAGGCGGTTACATTGTCGATGGATATAAAGGATTGCGTAAAAGGTTACGCTATGTATAAAAATACTTACGGCGCAGCAGCTGTGCCATGTTACCGATTCTGAATCTGATTCGGAGCCTTGGGCTCTGATTTTAAAGCAATCCGCCGCTGTTGTTGTTTTATTTGAATTTTGATTTGTGTCTTGGGTCGTGCATTATGAGTTAAGGCGTAAACAAAGCCATACCATTGCCCGATGGCGGCATCTGATTTGTTTAACACACTCGCAGCTCTTAATGTAAGACTGTTGCTATTACAGGCGTAAAGACACGCAAGGCTGGCAAACAGACTGCCAGGCGAGCAGGGTGAAGATGAAGAAAGGCAGGGAGAATGGCTCATGGACTGATAGACTGACTGCTTGGCATAGCTTTTGTTGCGTCAACTTCAAAAGCACTTAATTAACAACTTTAAGGGCCTGACATACAAAATTTGCACTAATTTATTAATGGCTAATGTAAATTTGCGAGCTGCCATCAAATGATACTGAAATATTAAGGTTCACATACACACTTATACACCCATTTATAGCTACAGTTCTCAACTTTTGTATATTGACAAATCAAACATATTCGTATATGTATATGCTGGCAAGCTTAAAACTTTAGACTTCGACCGAAGCATAGTCGTACTAACCATATAAATATTGGAAAAAGCATGTCAAATGTGATGGAGAATGTTAAACGCCACACACCCTTATCAAATTACCAGTAACACCTCAGTCGCCTCCCAAACAGGTTCCCCTTTCAACAAAACGGTTGCACAAATTTCTAATTCAAAATTGTTGTTTCTGTATATAATCGTATTTATAAGTTACAGCTCAGAATTTTACTTAAAAACGTTGATTAGGGGTTCGAAGTGTTCATAGGAACGATCGGTGCAATAATCAATTTCAGCACTAAAAGTGTTTCTCTTTACTTATGTACGATATTTTATTTTTATTGCACTTCATTATAATATAATTTGATAAAAATCGGCTCCATATACTGTCCTATAGCTGCCATACGACTTTTGGGTGCAATACAGTTTATTTTAATTGAAAAAGTGTCTTTACAGAGTTAACACAAGTCCGCCTGGCCAGACTTTAATGATGTGCTCCTTTATTCTACATCTGTGTTGCACTTTGCAACAACTTTCGTTTCTTGAATCGCTTAAGCACAGAGCGAAAATAGCATTAACAAAAAGAGCAAATTGTAAAGAACCTTCAATTAATTATCGCTACAAATTTGCGGTTGCTTTGGCTTAAATAACTTTTGTTTGCTTTTAATAGATAGGTCCTACTCATCTTTATCCTGTTAATAAAAAGTGCCGGTACTATAGTCGGATTTCTTATTCTGGTTATATACGCTAGTATCCTTATTTATTATGTCATTATTATATCTTTAATATAATGTATGTCAGAATATATGTTTTAAAGGGTCAAACCCAGGGTGATGAACACAAATTAATTAACAAACGACATATTATACTTTTGAGACAACAAAGCAACAAAGTTAACCGTATGAGTTATGCATTAATTAAAAGAGCAGTTGAGGATGAATTTAAATAATGTCTATTAATTCCGCGGAATGATAGCAAGATGTTTTAAAAGTAAAGAAGAAGAATTAAAGAAGAATTATACCAATATTTTTGCATAATTAATTATAAAAAAATAAAAAAGAGAGACCACACAAAACGTCGTTAAAATTATCATTATAAGACATTGACATTAGGAAAAGGGTTTGTCACATTTTATATGCCGAGTAGTGTAGGGGTGTGCTTAGCTTACTTGTATGTGTGTGGGCGGGTGCGGGGGCTTGCCTAATGTGGTGGCAGTCGTTGGCACTCTTAAGCATTTGACAAAAACAATTTAGATAAGCGATATGTAAAGTATATACCATTTACCGCACATATGCACAGTCAAGCACAAATTTTGCTGTGTCTGTTGAATTTTAAAACGACACTTGCCATTTAGCGCAACAGCCCCGCCAAATTGGCAACTTAATCAGCCAAGATTTATGTGCTGGTTGGCTGCTTGGCTGACTTACATTTTAAAAAAAGTACTGCGCCAAACTACTTGGGGAGGAACATAAAACCTGGGAAGCCGCCACGCAGAGACAAAAGCCAAACATTTGTTGTGCACTTAAAAGGTGGCATTGGAGGCTATAAAAAATTTGAGTGTGCAAGTGTAACCCGAAGCCACCGCACCGCAAAGTGTGCAAAATGCGTAGGACCAATGCCCCCAGCTCCCTGTGGCTTTCATGGCACCGAACGTTCAAGAAATGGCACCTAGATTATGTTTTTTTTGCAGTTTTTTTCTCATGACAAGCAGCAAATCAAATAATAAAATAAAAGACCATAGTCCCAAATTTCATTACCAAAAAATAAAAAACGAAAAGCTTGACATGCGCGACACAACGGAGGACAAAAATTTAATGACACAGAGATAACATATACGTTATAAACTTAGGTATATATGTGGAAATGTGTGTCATTATATTGGACACACACATTTAACAAATGGTGGCACTCACCTGCCGGCCAACGGCACATCAACTGAATTACTTGACCTGTGCAATTATTATTATGTATTTGAGGACAAGTTGTTGGCACTTTTGATCAATTTCCTGTTCACTCGAACACAATGGCTAGCGCGCAGAAACACTTTCACATACACTTCCACATGAGGCGAGTTCAACGCTTTTTACTCATCCTTTTTAAGGCTTTGGGGTTTGAGTTTGTTTTGCTTTTGCGTAAAATTACACACGCCTTCGATTTGTGTTCACTTGATTTCTTGACAAATTGACGCCCGCGAACTCAGAGCACGTCCAACTCCAACGCCGACATACGCTTATCTGAAAACTTATTGGGCCCATTGCCAGGAAATTACTTTGAAGTTCAATTGAAGTGCATTCCGCGCATGCGTCATTCTTAACAGAGCTCCAGAGCGCCACTCGGTTCCTGTTACTGATGGTCCTGTTGGGCTCTACATATGTATAAATATGTGTGGACTGACAAAAAGTTAAATAAACAAAGCAAAAGTCAAGCTGCATCATAAATATGATGAAAACTTTTGCAGGCACGCCAGCAACAAGCGACAACATGCGGGCCTCACATACATACATAGACTACTTATGTGTAGGGTGTCGTCTTGTGTGTGAATGTCGTGAATATTTATGGCTTAAAATCAACACATTCAAGGAAACTAAAGCCAAGTCATAGTACTCCTGCCCCCTTTCCACCCCAGGAATTATCACCATTTTTATGAACGAAATCTGGCTGTCAGTCAGAGGGTCATGAAATCCACGACAGGCGTTCACGTAGACTGGTGCAAATTCTAGGTAGGCACTTTTAATTTATAGAGACCTATCATCTAATTGTATGATGTGATAAAACATTTTCACCTACAGGACATCTAGGATCGAATACAGCAAAACGCCACTAAAAAGTCAAATGTAACTCATACTTGTGTTTTTCTTATTTATTGACAGACATACTACATACAAGTACTGTATTCGGTGTCAAATTTCATTTCAGCCTCAAATATCGCAAAGCAAGAGTCGCATTCAAAAATCTTTTTTTAAGACTTTAATTAAGTCGACTCGTCTAATGGGGTAAACCCTCTATGGTGAGCACCCCATACCCTAACTTTAATAGACATATACATACAAGTAGTTTACTTAT